GGGGGAGGAGGGGGCAACTGTGCACCCGTGCGAGACCGCGGGGGCGGCGTAGGGGCTTCTGGCGGCGCCGCAGTGACGGGCTGAGCCGGCGCGACAGCAGCGGCAGTTTCAGCGTCCGTCGCAGGGCGTTCACCGCGAGCGGCCTGTATCTCCGCTTGCATTGCTGCGAAGCGTTCTTCCATCTGGCGCTGGTTGGTGCGCCAATCTTGCTCTCTTCGGAGCGCGTCGGTCAGCAGTTGCTGCTGTTCGCGCAACTGCCGGTGGAGCTCCTCGTCCCGCGAGAGGATCACCGCTGCGCGCCTCTCCGCTTCCTGCGCAGCCTGCTGTTGATGGAGGGCCGCGTCGATCTTGCTCCGCGAGTCGCCCTCTATGGTGCTCAGAGCCGTGCGGCTCTGATTGAGGCGCTCCTCGGCCTCCGTCTGGCTGCGGTGCACGTAATCATGATGCGCCGCTTGGGCCTCCAGAAAGCCCTGACGCCCAGCAGCGTGTAGCTCTTCGGCGTGGAAGCCCTCCATGCGCGCGCGGAGCGCCGCATCGTGAGCGTTGAGGCGCTCACTGGTTCTGTCCACGCGTTCTTGCGCGGTGGACAAGGCAATGCCTTGAGCAGTGGAGTACCCTTCTCCACGAGCCACAGCAAGGTTACGCTCGTGCAGGGCGAGCGCCTGTGCGTCAAGATAGCTCTGACGCGCGTCCAAACCATAAGTGGCGTTATTCGCCGCCTGCACTGCGTTCGCCACATATTGGGCACTGTGACCCAGTTCCTGCGCCTGCCGCAGGAGCGAAAACTCAGCTTTCGCCAGAACGTCAAGCTGCACCTTTACCGTCGCCTGCGCGACGGCGGTCTCGAGTTATGTCCCGAGTTCCCGCGCGAGAGGGGTCGCAACCAATCCGGCGCGAATGTTGGACACACAACTGGTCGTAGAATCGACGAAAGCTGCGTCGTCCCACGGCAAAGCTGGCCATTGATCCAGCTGGAGGGAAAGTGTCGTCGTTAAAAAGTCGATCGACACCATCCCGCGATAGGTTATTCCTCCGACGAGGAGGAAAACCTCCAGAGGCTCCAGCTGCTGCTGGCTTCGTCGAGCCTCCTCGAAAGGGGCTCGCAGCCGCTGGCCAATCGCGCACCACTGATCGCGCGAAAAGACGAAAGAGGTATCGTCCGCGGTAGTAGGAACAAGGGTCATTTTTCCTGTGTTTAGAGTGTATTGCTATATATATATAGATATAGATATAGATATAAATGTTTCTAATTCCTTTTTTTGTGTGTGTGTGTGAGTTAAGTACTTGATTTTGATATTAACAATAGACTTGAAAGAAGTATGGTAACAGGAAACTAAAAACTAAAATATGGAAGAACTGCTGAATTCAGCAGTTGAGAAAGAGAATCCAAGAAAAGGGGGAAAGAGAGAGGTAGGATGAATAATTCTTCAGGCTAGGTCATTCTATTCGCAAGCTCCAAAAAAAAATGCTTAAGGAGAAGAAAAGAGGAGGAGAACAAATATATAGTTGAAGATGCGCGAAAACATAGAAACATAAAATGAAGGGGAAACCAAAACAAAAAACATATTATAAAGGGAAAGGGCAAAATATATCAACAACAGAAAGGATGTGAAATTGAAACATGGGCGGAAACGGAGCGAGAACCCAAAACAAAAGCAGAAACAAAAACGACCAATACGGAAGCTTGGGGGTCATGCGACAAGGGTGATATCCATTCGACACGCAGAGGCCGTGGAGGTCGTGAGAAAAAGTCCTCATCCAAGAAAAAAAACGAAAAAGAGGGGAAGAGAAATATAAAAAGAAAAACGAAAGAGACAGCTAAAGCACTTGCAGGCTCAAAGTGCTCGAACAGCGAGAAGTTAAAAAAGTAAAGAAGAAGAGTAAAAGACAGCAGTTACGCCGCGGAAGAAAGAAAGTGAACGGCGTCTACTGATAGTCAACTCGTAGTACCTAGAGGAGACAAACAAACAAACGATGCGTGCTCTCAACGTCGCAACGAGGGTCAAAATGATTCAAATTCTTCCATGTTTTTTTGGATAGTTTTTCCTTTGTTTTCTCCGTTGTGGGGAAGGAAATTGTTGCTTCGCGGTCTAGTTGAAAAACAAACAAACGCGGATGCACCAATGGCCGACAGACACACACGCACACAAGCAAGATATATATATATATATATAATCCTAATCGATGTTGTCGCAGATGCAATAGTCGAAACATGTTGATCTCTTTCCGAAATGTGTGAGAGAGAAAGAGAAAGGAAAACAATCAATAAAGCGGAAACCAATTTCTCCGTAGAATCAAAAAAAAAAAGAGAACGAGCGAATAGTAACAGCAATAATTGTAATTAAACACTTAGTGACAAAAGACCAGATGAAGAGAAAGGAATCCGCAATGACGACAGCAGTCACAATCATCATCATCACTGCTGGAGAGAGTATCGGTAATACATCCGATAGAGCGTATGCGACAGCGTCACATCAGCACAGATGTCGTTCCTTAAAAACTTAAATATTGAGTGACACAAAGCTAACAAAGCAAACCCACACACACACACACAGTCTTGTTTGGGCAAATATTGATTCTCCCTTAGCTGGAAGTCATTGAAAAAATATGTGTATATGCATGTATCACTGCCTCTCTTTCCATTTATATTAAAAACAATAATCATAATATAAATCGTAGAAGGCAAAGAAGCGTAAAGGCGAATACGAAAGCTGGAAAACATGACGGAGAAAAAAAGAGCTGCCCACAAGCTCCCACACTCTCCTTCAAAAAAAAAAAATGCTTTCCATAACACGAACAATCCACGAGCGCTTCCGGCGACATCCGCAGAGAGGAAGACGAAAACGGCGGTGCGAAAACAGAGGGCAGAGTTGCGCTTCAAACACACCCACATATAAGAACAAGAAATAAGTTGAAATATGCCACACAACAATACACACACGCACACACACGAAGCGAGAGAGAGAGAGAGATTCGTGATACAGCGCAGATAGTGAATCGAGAAACGAAAAGAAAAGATCAAACACACGGAGGAGGCCATGCTCGACCAACGCACAAGAACAAAAAAGTGAGCAAAGGAGCACCACAACGACGGGAAAGGGCCGCGAGTCAGCCTTGAGTACACCAACAAAGGCAACAACAGCGGTTTGAACGACTTTCATTCAAGAAGAAAAAAAATCCCTTGGTGGAAACAAACCTCGATAATATTTATAATAAAGCCATCAACGTTAATCGATAAGAAACACAGAAGTAAAAACAAAACAGGAGAAAACAACAACAGTGAAAGAAAGACATAGCTTCTTGCCTGCGCAATGATAATGAGGAAAAATAGTTTATGTATACGAAGAGACGTTCAGAAAGACCCCGGAAAGTGAGATATCAAAAGGACAAAAACACAAAAAACAAAGAAAAACGTAAAGGAATGAAAAAAAAAAGAATAATAACTGGCTCGACGAATCAGTGTTCTTTCATGTCTCGCTTGCGCACCCATCTTACCGAAAGAGAGAGGAGGAAGAAGCACTCCTTCGAGAGTTACACACAGGAAGAGGGATCACAACCCCCTCGGGTGGAGACACAACGACGCCGCACTTTGCAATGCGAATCGACAGGCAAGAAGAGAGAAAGGAAGAGGAAAGCAAAAGGCAGCAACAACAACAATAAAGGACCGTCTGCATTCTTCTTCTTCACAGGAAAGAATGGAGCGGGGGTCCTCGTGACCAGAGCCGTTCTGTTTTCACTCGCGAACAAACATTCTTTGTTCTCTTTACCTCTATTGCTGAGGCGGCGGAGCGAGAATGCCGACCGCGTAAGGCCCCATAAAGCTCTCACATGACACCCACGCATGAAAGCGATCATACACATCCGTCGCGTCCCGGCCGGCGCACGCCAGCAGCAACTTCTCACCACCTGGGTGGAAGCGCTGAAACTCGGTGCAGTCGTACACCACGTTGCGAATCACCATCCAGAGATCATCGGGTGTGTTGTGCCGGGAGACTTCCTGCGGGGTCATACGAGGCAACGCCGCTCGTGAACCGGGTGGGTGCTGAGCGGCAGAGGAAGGAAAAGCCGGTGCCGTGCCACCGGGGCTGCCGCTGCTGGGGCTGCCGAAACCGGAATTGCTGCCGGCGCGTTGGCGGTGTTCGCTGCTGAGCGATGATACGCTGCCACGACGCTGCTGCTGCTGATGCCCACGCCTGTTTTTGGCTTCCTTTGCGGATAAGTGAGCCGTCCAGTCTCTCATTGAGCAGCCCGGCATGCGAGGGACCTTGCCGCGCGGCAGGCGCTGTATCGTCTCCGCATCCGGCTTCATGACAAAGCCCTCCGCAACGCCTACGCTGGTGGACTGCACCGCCGCTGCCGTCGTCAAGGCCCCGCCACTGTTGTTGGAGTTCACCGGGTAGCAGTTCGAAATGCTGATGCCGTTGCTTCCGTTGCTCGTCATTGGTGCAGCGAGGTTCGCCGAGGACAGCGACAACAGCAGCGGGTCGCTCGCCGTACTCGTGAGTGTCTGCGGAGTAGAGGTGTACGCTGAGGAGTCCGAGGTATAAAGAAACTCGCGTGACTGCCCGGTGGTGAAGGCGGTGGGCGGAACGGACGGTCGCGCCTTCGCGCAAGGGCTGCCGTGCGCGCCGCTGCTGCTGCCGAGACTAGAGTCGCGGAGGCAGCTGTGTAGGTGCGGGTTTGGACCGTGCGCGTACCCGTGGCTCACCGCCGTCGGCGTAGCAGTCGGGTTCGTCGGACCACCACCGACGCCGTCTGGCTGTGGACGCAGCACCGCTGGCTGCACCACCATCATTGGCATCCCGCCAATCAACGCCTCCACCCTATCGTGTTCATCGGGCGTGCTGTGGTGGCCGTTGATGAACATCGCAGATGGTACAGTCTGGACCGCCGCCGCCGCCGCGACAGCAGCGCTTGCGTCTTCATTTCCTAGTGCCGCTGATGCCGTGGTAAAGTCGTTGTCTTCGTCTGTGCCATGACGGGGAGAAGAGCAGCGATCGCTTGGCAGAGTCGAGAACAAGCTGCGCATTTGCTGCGCCGTCTTTTGTTGTTGTTTTGTGTTGTCGCGTTCTGCGAGGGACGGTGGTGGTGGTGGTGGCGGAGCGGAAGACGTCGACCCACATTGCAGCCCACCACCCAACTGGGCGGTGGGGCTCCCGGCGCCGAAGGTTGCGGTGGGGCGGTGATGCGCCGGGGCGGTAGCGGCGGCGAAACCACAGATAATGTTCGTTGCCGTGCGCACGATCGGGGAGGGGATGCGCGATGAAGGCGGTGGCAGCGGTGGGGGAGACGGCATGACGGGAATGCCGTTGTTCTTGCGGCTCCTCCGCACATTCCCCGTCGCGGTAGTCGCAGCAGTATTGGTGTTGCCCGTCGGTGCGGCAGCGGCACTCGTCGTGCCAAAATGGCCGTGAAACGTCCGCGAAAAGTTGGGGTGGTAGTTCAAAAAGTTGCTGCCGCTGTTGTGCCCTCGCGTCGTGACCGATACGACAGGGCGCGTCTCCGTGCTGCTGAACACCGGGACGGACACGCCGGACGGCGCACATACACCTGTCGCAGCCCACACCACTGCCAGCACATTTGCATTCTGCGAGCCGTGATGCGAGGGGGATGATGAAGTAGTTGGGGCGCCATGGCTACGATGATGCGGACGGCGTTGTTGACGATGCCCGCTGCCGCTGCCGCTGCTGCTCCGACTGGTGTTGCTGCGCTGCTCCGTTCTTTCGGCAGCGCTGGAGTCCGCCGTCCACGCGTCAGCGAGTGGGGTGGGCGCCGGCGAGTCAGCTGCTGACGGCTTCGATGGATAGGTCGCATCGTGCGCGCTTAAGGATAAGACTTTGCGATTGTCGAAAGGGTACCCCGTGGCGGAGGCAGCGGCAGGGTGCAGAAACGGGGCGAAGGTGGCGGTGACGTTTGTCGCCGAGACGCCAGCGTGGCGCAGCATCGACGCGCTCGCTGTGTGGCCTTCGCCGTCGTGCTTGTCGTCGTTCCGCTGGCCCGCGCTGGTGCTGTTGCTGAAGGTGTTCTGCCCCACTCCTGCTGCTGTTGCCGCCGAGGAGGCATCGGCGTCGTCTGATTCCCTTTCGAGTGCAGTGCCGTTGCCCAGACTAAGCAGAGAGCCGCTGCTCGACACGGTCGAGTAGGGCGTCCAGGTTTGGAGCTCCACCGCGCTGGCAAAGTGGTGAGAGGTGTACGTGAGACGGTTTTGCACCTCACAGCCGCTGCCAACGGCTCTGCCGCCTAGCGGACCAGCTAAGCGGGTCGGCGAGTCGGCCGACTTCAGCGGACCTGCCGGGACACGAGGTATGTGAGAGCTCGTCGTGTGGAGCGGCTGATCGCCAGAGGGGACGAAAGAGACCGGCGTACGCGGAGAGACGGGGGTGTGCGTGCGACGGTGGCTGTTCGCTGTTGCCGCTGGTGTTGCCCCGACGGTCGGGGGAAGTGGAATGACCGTCGCGTTGTGTGGTGTCGAGAAGGTTGACCGGCTCGCCTCACCAAGTGCCTTCGACGAAATCGAGGAGACTCGCGTCACGAGGTCGACGGGCGGCGGTGGCACTGCGCTCATCACGCCGAGCGTCACGGAGGGCAGACTCGATGTCATGGGTGAGGAGGTGTGTGTCGCCATGGTCGTGGTGGTGGTGGCCGCAACCGAGCCTCGGCTGCGAGTTGAGTGCAGCATGCTCTGCACCTCCGCCTTGTGTCCATCGAAGTGGGTGTGGACGGAGTCCTCGTCGCCGCACACATCGCTCGGCAGCCGTGACTGACTGCCAAGGAAGGCGTCGTCATCCACCAAGGAGAAGCTGCCGGGCCGGTGCGCACGAACTCCAGCGTCGTCGCCGTTCTCACAAATGCCGCCTCTTGCACTGGTCCGGTGAGAAAACATCAGTCGCGCCGGCGACGGCGTGGAGTGGATGTCCGCGTCTGCCACCGCATTGCCTCCGCCGACGCCGCTGCTGCTGCTGTTCGTCTCCCCGGACAGCGCTGCCGGCCGCGGCGTGCGTTTGCGACCTGAGGCGCGCTCCATGGGGAGAAAGACTCCGTCTGCGCCCTCCACCTCTCCTGCCGAGTCGTGCGCAGCCGGGTAGCTCCACATGCTGTTGCTGCTGTTGCGGCTGTACGGGTGCAACAGCGGAGAGAGGGTCGGGTTGCCCGCGGAGGAGTTAAACGACGACCCCGAGGCGGCAGAGTCGTGATTGGTGCCGACGCCTAACGCAGAAAGGGTGACGAGGGAGGCGTTGCTCGAGGGCCCGCGTACCATCCAGTTGCTCGGCGTCGGCGGCGCCAGCAGAGACGCGGACGCGCTCATCGGGTGTGAACCTGGGGACTTGGGGTCCATCAAAACACGTTCATGCGAGGACGCGCTCTGCGTCGCGCTTGTCGTGGCGGTGGTGCTCAGCGCGGCTTCTGTGGCGGCTGTGTGGTGTTCCGAAAAGGAGGTGCTGAACACGGCGACCGTGGCACTGGTGGGCGAGGTCGTCGTGATCGCAAGGGGGGCAGTTGTTGTGCTGGATGCTGCTGCAGCCGCGATGGCGATGGGTGATGCGGATGCGGAGGAGGACAAGGAGGCTGCCGTCGTTGTACCACTCACGGAGGCGAGGGTGCGTGGGACAAAGAAGTGCGAGTGCCGTTCATAGTGGTTACTGACTGGGTGCATGAGTAACGCGCGTTGCAGGGCGATATCTTTCCGTTGTACTGTGTCAATTGTTTTTCTCTTTCTCTTTTCTTTCTGCATCAAAGACCTCGCAACGGTGATGCATACACGTGGGTTTTTGTTTTCCGCGACCTTCGCACGCTTAGCTAATAAAACCAGAGAAGTCAAATCACCGCCACTGAAACAAGCAAACGGAAAAACAATAACAACAACAATAAAACAAAAAGACGCACACAGAAGCAGAAGCAGCAACAAAAAGAGATTACACTCCCTCTCTTCCTTCTTCTTCTTCTTTTCGTTTTTGTTTTTCTTTAAATGCAGAAATATAGTTTTCAGCGAATTCGTAAAACGAGGAAAAAAAAAAAGAGCACTGAGGGATATGTAAGGAAGGAAGTAGAAATGCCAATAAACAAAAACCCTGCGTTTCACTGTAGAGCAGTGTATGTATGTATCTGTGTATATACAGGTAGGAACAATCGCGGCAACTGTCGAAGAGGAACCACCACAACAAAAACAACGCTGAGGTCCAAAATACGAAGGAAGAAAACAAATAAAGCAATAATAGTAAAATAAACGGTGACGAGAATAGAGTCTTGAGGAGGAAAAACAGGTAAACTGAAAGCTTATTAGTTTCAGGAATAATAGTAGTAGTGTTCTTAATGAACACCGTCGCAATGGAAACGGAAAGTAGCAGCAACTGAGCGTGCACTCCGCCTCAGGCAAACAACACAAGCGCACTGGAAGCTCGGTGTCGCCGTCAAACCCACTTCTCTCTCACACACTCACACAGGCAAGTGCCGTACTACAAAACACACACACAAATAATCAACAACCGTGCACTAACGGTGGTCAGAAGGAGAGAGAGTTAATGTAATATGCATAGGGGAGTTAGAAATCAACAAATATCCAAAGAAAAAAAAAACAGACGAAGTTTCACTAAATTAATATGATATCATAAATATAAAGAAAAAAAAACAGTAGGACGTGTAGCCATCGGGAAGCTAGCGAGTCGAAAGAATTGCGGCGGGATGGCAGATATTGAGGTTTCCTTTTCTTCTTTTGAAAGACACCGCAGAGGAGACGTAACAGAGAAACAAAATTCAAGAAGAGGAAACAGGAAGAGAAGGGAGAGGAGAATAACGTTGGCTTGGAACGAACCGCATTGGAAGGCCATGTTTGCGAAGGAAGCGCGTAACATCATCACTACTGGCGTCGATTCAAGTTTCGAATGAAAGAAATATCACCTCCGCTGGAACGTGTATCTAACAGCACCCAGCGACAGAAGGATTCCACAAGAAAAGTGCAAAATCAGCTTCCGTGGATGTCAACATCGCGGGTTTTTATAAAACGATGACGTTGGGGGAAAGGGAAAAGACACGCTCTTGTCTTCTCCTCTTTTTCTCTTCTTCTCTTCTTCTTACTTTAAATCAGAATCGAGTCTTGAGGAGCTCATGAAGCACGATTCGCTTTTTCGTTTGTTTTTCTTTGCCGTCTGCTTCACCGGGCCACAACAAGCACCGGCGTGGACGAAAAGGAGAAGTCCATTCAGGTAATAATATAAATATAAACAACCGTGCGAGATCGGCCCATGAGCGAAGCAGAAAAGTTTCAACAACGTGTACGCAACAAAAGCAAAGGTTAAAATAATAGGTATATTGTTTCGTACAGCAGGAAGACACTCCGTGGAGAACAAAGCCGCAATTTAAGCGCTAGACGTGCGCCGCTCCGTTCACTGGAAGCTGTTGACCTCCCGCTGGTGAACCTTGAAATACCACCGCTGCTCATCCGCGCAGCGCTTCTTCTGAGATGAGGAAATCTCAAAGGTGAAAGGCCCGTGCATCGGGGTCGGTGCCCAGCCTCTGCCGGACTGCGCCCGCTGCTCGGCGGAGAGAAGCCCCCCCGCCGTCCACGACCCACCCGTGCCGGTCCCGTTTGCCGCCCGCATCTCCTGCAGCACCGCGAGCGTATCGAGGCTGCCGTTGCTTTTCAGCTCTCTTGCGCCGCCGGGCGAGCTGCAGAGCTCCGCACTGGGCGCCCACGCGCTGTCCGTTGCGTCCTCCGTAGACTCTGCTTCGCTGCCACTGCTGCTGCCGCCGCTGTTTTTGTCCGTGGTTTGGTGCTCCCGCTGCAACCGCCGCATCAGCCGCGCCGCCTGCGTCATCTTGCCCTGCTCCAGCAGCATCTGCGCGTCCGGCACGATCGGCTCCCAGAATGGGCACGCGAAGTACAAGTCGGCCTCGGTGCGCGGTGGTGCACCCGAAGGCAAAGACGAGGAATAAGACGTCGTCGTCGTCGGTGGTAGTGACGGCGGTGGTGCGCTCCGCGAAGTGAGGGCGCCCTTATCCAGCGGGATTGGCGTGAGCGGTGGAGGGGCGTAGCGGGGGATATCGCGCGTGGTCCACAGATTCCATGTGATCGTCGTGTTCTCGCCGAGCTGGGGCTGGGTCGGCGTAGGCGGCATGAGGGAACCGACAGAAGAGACAGAAGTTTGAGTTGATGACGATGGCGGTAATGATGATGATGTGGTGGTGGTGGTAGTGGGCCACGCCAGGCGTTCCGCCCGCACCATCGCCATGAGCTTCGCATCGGTGATGTCCTCCTCGTCGATGGACGGCGGAGTGCGAGTGGCCCACGCCGTCAGACCAAAAGCGCTCCCGTCCACATCCACATCCACTGCAGCATTTCGGCTGAAGCTGCTACCAAGGTCACTGTTCGGCACGCCAACTGCTTCCTTTAATTGCTGCTGCTGCTCCGCTGTTTGGCTCTGATCGCGAGCAGCACGACTGTTGGATGGCATCGATGCGTACTCACGGGAAGCCATGGTCGCTGTGGGTGCCGTGGCGGCGGTGATGGGTACAGTGGGCGCTCGCGGGATGGCGACCGGCATGAAACGCGAGGCCCGCAGCGCCGCCGCCTCCACGTCGCTGTCGATGATGCGCCGCTCCGCTGTTGTCAAACGCGGTGGTGGTGTAGCCGGCGGAAAACCTCGCTCCTCGTCTTTATTGCTGGGGCTGCGAAGCTTCCGCTGCAGTCCTTCTGGGTCCTCCGCGGAGTGGTTAGCTGCTCGTGTGCCTTCGCTTGCTTCGCCATCGACCATCGCCTGCATCGCCTTCCGCGAATCGGCCAGTGTCACGAAGAGACGAATGGGCGTTAGCGACGGGGTGTGGGGGGTCGACAGCGTGCAGTGCGCCGGTGATGTCAGATAGGTCGCCGCCTCGGACCCGATCGTCACGGTGGCGCTCTTGCCGCCGCGCAGCAGCTGGGCAGGCATGCGTTGGTACTTCGACACGAGTGGCACATCCAGCGGCACCTGGAGCCCGCAGCAACTGCGTGTGGTGGCCCACCACATCAGAAAGGAGTCCAGGTCCTTTCGTGATGAGCTCTGTTTCACGACGCCGACGTTGTCCAGCACCTCCTTCGCCGGCGAGGCGTCTTGCAGAATGGAGGAGGAGATGGGCAGCATCGTGCGCGCCGGACGTCGCGGTACGCCGAGGCCGCCCGGTGGCACCTCCGCGCCGGTCTTTTTCCCCGGCTCCGCTGCACTGTTGCTTGTACTATCTACCGAGTTCCCCGCTCCAGCGGCGGTGACGGTGGCGGACATCTTCGCTTTTGCCAGGTCAGCTGCGATCAGCGGATGCCCATGAGTGTCCATTGCAATGTAGATCCCATCCGGTCGGCAGTACAGCCCCCGCGATACCCACCGCCCCTGGCTCCAGCACCCTGCGTAGATGCCGCCGTCCTTGTAGCGCCGCAGCGCGATCATGCGGCGCTGTGTGAGCCGGTAGAAGCAGGCATCACACACGCGCTGTCCGACCGTGTTGGGGTGCGCCGCAGCGGTGGGGCTCTGTGCGCTGGCCGCGGTGTCGCCATCACCTGCGAAGTTTGCCGGCAAGGTTGCGCGGTGCTGCGAACACGCATCGCAGAATACATCCCCGCAGAGTCGACAGTGGTGTCGGCGGAGGAAGAACGAGAAGGACATGCCGCACTGCCCACACGTCGCGGCTTCCGCGTCGTCGACCATGATCGGCGCGGGGAAGCAGTCATCCCGCTCGTTGCCGGCGCGGTAGGTCGTCTCGTAGACATCGCCGGTGCTGTTCTCGTAGATGCGCGTGAACCCGCTGGACGCGCCTTGCACCCAGCCTCCCTCGACCACGCAGCTCGAGGTGAACAGGAGGCCTTTCCCTTGCTGCTGGTTTTGACTAAAGTCACCGTAGTAGGCCCCGCTTGTGGTGACGAGCTTGCCCATCCCCTCCATCGCACCGCACACGAAGGTGCCGCTGTACACGGAGACGCCGTCTGGCAGGCGCAGCATCCCCGTGCCGTGCTGCTGCCCATGCATCCACTCTCCGTTGTACACCGCGCCATTGGAGTCGTAGCCGATCCCGCGGCCATGCGGGCGTACACCGTGCGCCGTATCTTCCTCCACTTCACCGTGGTACTGTACGATGCGCAGCTCTCCTCGGCGGAACTCACCCATCAGCACCGCGCCGTCCTCGAGGTAGTATACGCCCTGCCCGTGCCAGGCGTCACGCTCAAAGGCACCCTCGTAGCGCTCACCGTTTGGCATGTACTGGACACCAAAACCGTGCCGCTCGCCGGCGCAGAAGCCACCGCGGTAGTAGTAGCGCCGGCCCCACCACAGCTCCCCGTAGATGTGCGGAATGGAGTAGGAGGTGTAGCCGCTGTAGGTGATGTACTGTGTTGGCGGGAGCAGCTCACCACTCGGGCGTGGCAAGTCTTGTGGGGTGCGGATGTACCGATTCGTGCTCGTGCTGGCCATCCCAGGAGACCCAGAAGCAGCCACAGCAGTAGCGGGCACGGCGGGCGGCGGCGGGGAAAGTGGCACCGGGGAATCACCCAGCCCGTCGTTTAAGAGAAGCGTACACGGAGAGGTCGGCGTGTGCGGTGCGTCGTGGTCGACGTCGGCAAGGTCTATCTGCGACGCAGGCAGTAGCTCACTCCCCGCGGAGACCTGACGCGACGACTCGCAGCGGAGTTCTTCCCCGGGCGCGATGGGGCCGGCGGTGTCGGCGTCTCCTGTGGCCACTGCGAGCGCTTCTGTTACGGCGGTCGTGCCGCCTGCGAGGACTGGATCAATTTCTGTCGTGTTTGCCTTCAACGCGTCGCCCGGCGGCGCGCTCGCTTGTCGGCGCACCTGCACGTCCCGCTGATGCCGGTCGATGTCCACCACGGAGGTGAACATCGAGGTGGGGATCCACATCTGGGTGTAACGGAGCTTCCACAGCATCGCGCGTACGCAATCGGCGCACACCGGCAGCGCAGCGGTCCCCTTTCCATCAAAGGCGTGGTCCACCTGCTCCACGGAGATGCTCGGGAAGACCACACGACGAGCCGCGCCGCCGCTGCTGCTGCTACTCGCCGTGCTCTTTGCCGCGGCAGCCGCGAGCAGCTCCGTCTGCTCCGACGTCACGTACGCGTGCCGTAGAAGGGCCTTCACGTCCTCTTGTTGCAGCCCGTCCGTGTCCATCTGACCCAGGCAGGAGGAGCAGGTCGACCGCAGGCATAAGGTGCAGTGGACGCGCTTGCGGAAAAAGCTGTACTCCTTGGCACAGATGGTGCACCGCGTGTCGGGCGAGGTGACCCCGCTGACGCTCTCCGCCGCCGCGGCTGCCCCGGCGGTGGCCCCTTCACCCAGATTGCTGCCCCCGGCCGCAAGAGGCGAGAGGGCGAGTGATAGGGCACCGTGATAGACATCCGCCGTGGTGCGCTTCGGCTCGCCCCGCACATCGTTCGGCGCCGCCGCCAGCAGCGCGGAGTAGCACGACTGCGACCGTGGTGAAACCCACAGCGGAAACGTTGCAGCGCAGTTGCGTGCCGCGGGGCGGCTTGCCTGCCAGACTACGAAACCATCGTAGGCGGACCAGGGGCGGTACGGGACGGCAAGGCGAGGGGCGTTGCCCAGCCACTCTCCGGCGACGACAACACCAGAATCGAAGTACACCACGGCCGGTCCGTTGGCGCGACCGACGGAAATCTTCGCTGGTGGATCAGCGAGATGGAGATCCGTTGCGCCGGCTGCGATTTGCCGCAGTGACGGAGGCACCATCTGCTGTTGCTGCTGCGGTGTCGCGGTGAAGTTTTCCAGCATCATCAAGCTACTGTTGTTGCCGCCATTTTTCAGGGGAGGCGGACCGTCCGAGGACGACGCGGTGGTCCGGGTGGCGCAGTTCGACATTGCTGTGGACATGGTCGCTGAATGCATCAGCAGCGGCCACGGCGTGTCGCGTGCGAGTGGGGCCGTCTGCGCTGCGATCTGCGGAAGTACGACGCGGGTGTAGGTGTGAAGATCCATCGGGGACGGGTACCACGTGCACGACACCGCGAAGTGACTGTGGAAGTCGATGAGAACACGCCGCGGTTTGTCGTCCTCCTCGTCGGCGTTGCAGTCGGCAACTGCGCCATCGTCGTTGCCCGTCCTGCCGCTACCACCACCAAAGCCAAGCCCGACCAGACCCCATAAGTACGAAAGCCCAAAGGGACCGCCCCCTGCGTTTCCGTTGGCCCCACTGCTATCGCCGCTGTCGTTGCCGCTTTTTGTTCCGTGTGTGTCCACGGTCGCGGCTGCAGACGCAGGTGCCGGGGAGCCGGGGATGCAGCGCCGGCGCGAGCGCGACGAACGCGGTGTGCGAGGGATTATTGTCTGGAAGATGGGGTCGGTTCGATTTCGCTGATACCACACCCCGGGCCCACTTGGCGCGTCGTCGCACCAGCCGCTTTCCATCACGGAGCCGTCAGGCCACCACACCCGTGCGCAGTCCGCCGCGCGCGCGCCGTTGCAAAACCCGCCAATGTACACAATGCCGTTCGGGAAGGCCAGCACGCCCTTCTGGCAATGCAGCACATCTCGCACCCAACGCCCTTTGATCACGACGGAGGGAACGCTGTCGCCTGAAGAGGGGACAGTACTCGCAGAAGAGTCTTTCCCTCTGTCGCTGTTGTTACCTGCTGCTGCCCCTGCGCCCCCACGGCTCGCCTTCCTACTGTTTTTGTTTCGGGTAAAGGTCTTGCCGGTGCCGCGGCGATCCTCGGCGAGGTTCAGCGTCCCACCAACGATGCAGTCCAGCGCTGGCAGCTTCAGCAGCCCCACGCCATCCCGCACGCCGTTGCGAAAAACACCGAAAAAGTCGATGAAATGAGGATAGTCATCAGCGCGGCGCATCGCGTCACTCCCCGCTGCTGTTGCTGCCGCGGTCGTAGTTCCTGGGCAGTTTGAACCGCTGACCAGCCCTTCCTCGTCCACCGCAGTAGATGCAGCTGCACCGCTGCCCGTGAGCAGCGGTGGCGGCGGTGGCGGCGTGCTTGATGCGGCATGCAGCGCAGCGTTCACATCGGACAGCTTCAGCGTGGAGTTGCTCGCGCGGAGGCCAAAGAAGGTGTCGATCGGCAGCGTCAGGCGGCCAATGCCGTGAAAGACAACGCCGTCCCATTCGCCTTCGTAGCCTTCCACAAAAGCGTCGTGCTGCCAGCGTCCGGCGCGGATGGAGCCGTCGGCGCGTTGCAGCAGACCAAGGCCGTGTCGCACGTCATGCACGTAATGCCCACTGAACTCCACCTGCTCGGCCGCGTAACGCATGTTGCCCGGGCCGTGGCGAAGACTCTTGCGGAAGCGCCCCGCGAAGAAGTCGCCATTCGTGTACCACAGCAAACCTTTACCGGTCATATGCTCGCCATGCCACTCTCCCTGATAGCATAGGTAGTTTTTCGGTGCTGCTTTGTGAAGGAGGGGAGCGGAGGCGGTGGGGGACGGTGTGTTTGCCGTTGGGCTGATACAGGCTGTTGCTGCTACTGTGAGAGGTTCGTCTACAGAGGGAGAAGGAGGAGCAGCGGTAGTGACCGCCTCAGCGCAGCCCGACGCCTCTTCCCCACCTTTCTCGGGCTGCGTCTGCTGATGCCAATGCATTGTCCCAACGGTCCTCTCGCCACGTGCAAAGATCCCGACAAAGGTCGACACGCCCGGTACGACAACGGTGCCCTCGCCATGAATGAGACCGTTAAGAAACATGCCCGTCATCGTCGTACCCGTGCGCTTCAGCGTGAACTTTCCTTGACCGTGGCGCAGCCGATCATGCCAGGCGCCCTCGTAGACGTCGCCGTTGCGGTACTTCATCGTGCCGAGGCCTTCAATAGTGCCCGCGGCAAAGTTGCCAAGGTACTCATCGCCGTTCGCGAAGCGCATCACGCCCTCGCCGTCGCGCTGGTCGTGCTGCATGAGCCCCTTAAAGAGGGCCCCGCTTGGGTACGTGATCTTGCCGAAGCCGTGACGCTCGTCGTTCGCCCAGTCGCCTTCGTAAACTTCACCGTCGAGCTTCCGCAGCCTGCCCTTGCCATGGCGACAGTTGTCCTGCCAGTCGCCCTCGTAAACATCGCCGTTGAAGTAGCGCATGATGCCCGTGCCGTGCCGGCCGTGCGCTGCGTCGAAGTTGCCGAAGTACTCTTTTGGCGCCGCCGCTGTGGCCACCAGCTCAAACGGTGTCATGTAGGAGAGACCTTTTAGCAGAAGTGTCCCCATGCCACCGCCGCCACCCAATCCACCACCACCGGCTGCTGCTGCAGGTCTGGTGTCCACGTACTTACGGGTATATGAGACGGTGCCTTTGCCGTGCATCAGCCCATCCTTCCACCCTCCTTGATACGTGAAGTAGCTCGTCACTAAAACCCCCTCGCCGTGAAACACGCCGTTCACCCAGTCCCCACCGTAGCGATCCCCTTGTTGATATCGTCTGCACAGGGTTGTGAAGGCGGCCGCGGCTTGACCGGCCACCCTCTTCGCACCATCGCCTCCAGGTGCATTGGCGTCGCGCGGAGCACCACCACCAAAAAAATAGGAGACAAGACCCCCCATGTTGGCACCGCTCGACGGCGCGGCAGGCTGCACAAAGGTAGACGGCACGTTCTCGTCATGATGGAAGAAAATGATGCCGCAGCCGGCTGGAAGTCTGTACTTTCCGTCCTCCGCGGTGGGGCCGAAGTATAGACTCCCGTCTGGCATGATGAGACTGGGCAGCATCCCTTCACGCAGCGTGAAGCCGGTCACCTGCAGCACCGTGACGGGACGGGTGAGGGGGGCGCGCATGTCGTAGTACTGCGGCGCAGGCACCGCGGGGTCGCCGCCGCTGCTGCCGCCTCCGCGAGACACCGCGCCGCCGCCATTCCCACTTGTGGGCGACGCCGACATGGTTGTGGGCACGATGCACGAGCCTTTATTCCGCCAAAAACCAAAGAAAGAATCAGCAGCACCAAAAAGACTACAGCAAACAAAGAAACAAGGAAGTAAAGTAGCACGAGAAGATGCACGAAGTGGTGTTGGGACGGCACTTGTGGAGGTGTGGCCTTCC